TTTTTTTTTGTCTTTCTTTCTTAAAAAAGCTTCAAACTTTGAGTGGAGCGAGGACCGCCCGCCCATCTGCTATAAGGTAATATAATCTATGTATCACCTTAGGCTATGATGATGTATTAGATACGGTAACTAAGTTAATTCATTCCAAATAATTTCCCAGACGCTGTTGAATCTCTGGGGATAATGAAATCGCTACGTTTTCGGGCACAATACCTCGAACATCCCATATGAATCAATGGTCTCTGAGCGCTCCTAGTTCTAGGCCTTTCCCATTTACTTAACTATCTTCTTTTGATGCTCTCAACGTATCCCTTGTGAAGATAAACCTAGCCAAATCCAATACTTTACAAGCTCCTATCCAACCGATGTGGTTTGTCTCCGTGGTCTGCTTTTCTCCTTTTAGCTCTGACAGGCTTAGGTCTATCGCTTTCATAACGCGGGAAGTTTCACCATTCGGTACAAAAAAGGGGTTCATGGTGTCCTCGTTGGCGGTCTACATGTGGCGCGCCTCGAGTTATGCCAGTGTCCGAGATAACACACGATGAATCTCCACAGGGCAGTTGTATTTAGGGACAATTTACGAGTTTGAGTTTCATAGTACGCTGTCTATAACTATGACACGGCCGGCTATTGAGCAGAACACTTTCTGTAGACGCCCCTCAAACACAAGAGTCCTTGTGACTTAGATAAGGACGGGGTAGTAGAAAATTGCTCGCCTTGGTGGCCATGCATATCTGCAGTCAATACCGCCTCTCGGAAACTGGATTGAGTATGTGGGGAGTAGGAGGTGGTCCAATACTTCCCAGCATGAAATCACACCTCGAATTTATTCGTACTGAAAATAAAGTACCCCGAATTATCTTAGTGTCCTCCGTTGGGATCCTTCTACAGGCACGGAATTCCTCCACTTGCAATGGTGTCTCTGCAGAGCGTAGGTTTCTTCTTCCCATGCGGTTTTGATATGATTGGGGATGTTTTGCTTCGTCGCTTCGAGGCTTTCCACTGCCTTATCGAATTCTTTCCTCCTTCCCCCTCACGAAGGCTCCGACATCTTGTATCCTGTCTTCTTTTGACGTTGTCCGACTAGTTATCTGGGAGGGTGGATTGATCATCCCAGAATTTACGGACTTCGGCCCTGACATCTTTTGCATAGTATCGTTGTCCACTCCGACCTAGGCGCTTTGATATCACGGATGTGAGAACCTATCACCCGTGATTGTTAGTGGTGCAAAGGCACGTATAAGTTCAATCGGAACTAAGGTGCTTCCTCACTGTCACTCAAAGCTTTGTCCGTGACGGCGAACTGAGAGGTTTAGGTTCGTCCTAACGCTATCCCACCCATAGTCCGTCGCTTGGACACTGGCCTTACCGAACGCCCTAGTTGGACTGTGGATGACTCATTGAAATTAAAAGAAATGGTTGGATTAAAAGAGTTGATCAACATTGAGGATGTACAGATTCATGGTCTGAACCCTTGGCCTAGCTTCCTTCGCTGGGGCTGTTTTTTAGTGTCTTACATAGTCCAAGTCGCGGGCGATATGCGGCTCCTGAGTATGGCACTCCCCCAATTGAAAAGTCTATCACCGAGATGCCTCGGGATGTGTGACAAACCGATTGGGGAAATGCCCTTACTGTCTTCGATGAGACCCCTGCCTCACCTGGCCCATCTGAACACCAAGGGCTGAACGTCAAGCGGGAACGTTATTCTCAAAGCCACGCACGACTCGGACCACCGGAACTCCCGCAGCTTCTTTCCGAAGCTTCGCGGCGCGTGGTAGCACGTCTGGCGCTGAACACTTTCCGCGCAGGAAAACTGGAGAAGGTGGTCGACAGAGAGGGCCGAAATAGCTCAAATCTCTTCATGATGTCGCTATGCGCGGTACTTGCCTCCTGTCTGGGGGTCTTCGCGGTCCTTTTGTTGACCCCGATCAAGCCAAACATACCTGTATTCCTTCTCGTTGGAGGTTGTTTCCTGCTTGGGACCACTAACTGGGGGGTTCTGCGCATGTCGGCTGCTAGGTGGTCGGGGATGCCAGCTATCCAGGAGTTGTCATAATCGTCATAGATCATGAGCCACAACGTTCCCATTCTTTCCCAGCCGCATGCGGCCTTCCACATGTTTGGCGTGACTGGATCTACATCCTTCGCCGTTTTTTTGTTGGAGACTGTGACCCTTCTTCTTCTCCTAGTTCTGCTCTTTCCATCGGGTATTCCCGCGGGCCATTGAGGCTGATCGCAAAAAGGGAGGAGGGGGGATAGTCAGGTTTGACGGATATACATCACCCGAGAAGGGCGAAAGGGCGACTTCGGGAGTGTTTGTATTAAGGACCGGAATTCAGTTTCTCAGAATTAAATTCTAATTGCGCTCAATATCGTACTGTGCAAGAAATCGGGAAAAGTACCATTCAAAAAAGTGATCTCCATTCCCTGCGCCCGAATCTCGCTTTTCGGCGCCTCGGACTTGATCAGCACGTGACTTTTTTGTTCTGCCAAGACCCCTGAGTTTCCTTTTTTGCGCTTCCGCCCCGTGGTTCTTGCTCTTGTCTGCTACCGGCGTTTTCAATTGCGGCTTCACCTTTAGTTGTAGTTGTAGTTGTAGTTTATTCCATTGGCTGTGCAGAACAGGTGTCTATGTAGCCCCACTACTAGCTAATTCCTGAATGTTTCCCTTTGCCACTCGGGGTTCATACACTCATTCAACAGCCCACTCCAAGCATAATACTTACCTTGACCTACCTTGACTATCTTGCCAGTTAGGTTTCCGTAGCCCCTATCTCGACCTTCCACCGCCAGCCTCATTTTCATTCCCGCACATTGCACTCAGCCTGCCTGTTGCCATCGCATATCTGATCACCGCCCGGACGATCTTCAAGTTGGGTGTCCATGTCGCGGCCGGCCCGTCGACCCATGAGCCGTTAGGGCGGCGATTCCACGATCTCCCCCCGAGCATATACGATATATCCCCGTACCGGTCTCCTGCCGCTTCCATCATCTCTGATCGCAGATCTTGGTAGCGAGGGCAATGAAGCAGGAAATGGCGTACCGTTTCCACCCTCTCGCCACATTCGCACGCTGGGCTTTCTTCGAAACCCAATTTCGCCAGAAAGCCTCGTAATCTCGAGTGTCCTGTCCGCAATTGAGCCAGTATCTGGGCTTCTCGACGGGTGAGCGTATCATAGAGCCCGCGGACGTGTGCGCCTGGCAAGGCCGCATCGACCTGTCGGAGGTGTTTGCCGGTCTTCCAAGGGCGTTCAAGTCGACTCTTCACCCCGGTCATTGGTGGCCGCCGAAGAGCGGCAGATTTGAACATCACGTCCAGCCACGGTACAGAGGTCACCGCCCTCCCTGGTATGGTTGTCTCCGCCGCCAGTTGGTGAGCTTTCTCGTTCCCCGCAATGTTATAATGCCCTGGCACCCACGCAATACGAATATCGTGTCCCTGTAGACGGCTGTCTCGAATCACTTCGTGGACTCGTCGCACTATCCGCTGGCCGCTTCGTCGTCCGGGATTGGCAATGGTCTGTAGCGCTGCTGTGCTGTCGGAATAGACTGTGGCACTTCGCCATGTCTTGGACCTAGTCAATGCAAATGCTGCCCCGTCAACAGCTTCCATGATAGCCGCCAACTCGGCCGTGTGCACCGTCATCTGATCGTCTCTCCCAATTGTCCGCTGTCTCCAGCTCTTGGCCTGTCCTTCCATCCAGACAACCACACTATATCCGGTCAAACCGTTCCTCTGTGATGCATCTGTAAAGAACTGTAGTTCATTTCCTTGGGCTTCCGTGCATCGTGTGGCGCTTTCTTCCCGATCTTCTGCAATGTGGACGACTGAGCGGGGATCCGAATGCCAAGGTGCTATGGTGAAGGCGTCAATCACCTCCAAGCCAGACATGCGCCCGCCAAGGGCGGTTTCCATGTGTGTTGTGGGTGCCCTGTGCGCCGTTGCAGCACTCACAGCAGCTTCTTGCAGGAGGCACTTCCGCGCGAGATGGTCTCGGGGAAGTGTGTGGATGTCAACCCAGAACTTCCAGATCCTGTCCGTTAGCCGTGACGCTGAGGGCTTGATGCCAGCCTCGGCGCAGGCAGCCTCATGCGAGACGGTCCGAAAGCAGTTGGTGATCACTTTCGCGGCGTATCGCTCAATTGGCACGACAAGTCGCTGCATAAACATCGGTGTACCTCTACCTAGGTAGCGGGCATACCACGCCGATGCTGCATAATCCAAGCCCGAGAGTACGACACTCTGGTAGAGTTGGCGGACAGCGCCCGGCCGTAAGCCGCGCAGTCTCGACAGCATCCGAACACGGTGCCATGCCTTGTGTGCCACCTGTGCAAGGTGTTCTCGGAACGTCAGTTGGCTATCCATTGTTACCCCAAGCACTTTCGTCGAGTGCACCGGCGGCACGCAAGCAGTCCCAACCCGCAGGGCTTGCAGGGGTTGTGCCATCTTCTTGAGCTGAGCGTTGCGGACGAAGTGGACCAAGGTGGTTTTATTGTCTTCAAATGTCGCTCCGCTTCTTGCAGCCCAGTTCAAGGCCCGTGGTATCACCTTCGACTGCAGTATTTTCATATTCTGATCAATCGTGTCACTCACAACCCAATGTGTGTAGTCGTCCACAAAACCAAGAGCTCCCTTGTCACCATCAACGACTTCCTCGACCAATTCCGGGTTGAAGAGGATGTAGAGGACCGGGGACAGTGGGGAGCCCTGCGGGAGGCCCGGGTAGGTGATCTCGGAAATGTCTGATTCCTGTCCATTCACCATCATGGTGGCGGAACGTTTCGTGCAGAAGGACGCCACCTACTCCACCACTTGAGTCGGGATGCCCTTCGCTTTTAGCCGCGTGGTTAACACCTGGTGTGGTACTCCGTTGTATGCTCCTTTCACGTCGAAGCTGACCAAGGACAAGACTCTTTGCTTCCGCCATGCCTCTCGGATCCTATCTACCAGAATCACCAGGGCCTGCTCACAGGAACGTCGGGGTCGTGCTCCGAACTGATTATTGGGTAGCAGCCCGTAAGTTTCAGCCCAGTAGGACAGGCGTCGAGCAACAACCAGCTCCAAGATCTTCCCCAGGGTCGACAGCAGGGAGATTGGTCGATAAGATTTGGGCTGCGTGTAGTCCGCCTTGCCTGGTTTCCTCAGCGGTAGTATGCGGGCCACCCTGAATGGTGATGGCACGTGGCCCAGCTGAAGTGAAGCATTGAAAATCGCCACTATCCACCTATCCAGGACGGGCCACAATTCTTGCCATGCGGCGTTAGGTATGTTGTCCACACCCGGTGCTTTCCATGGGCGAATACGTCCGACTGCGTCGCCGACCTCTGCCACCGTGAGGTGAGGGTTGTCTGCGAGCTGGCTCCGTGGGGCCTGGTCTGGTTGGGCGTCGGGATGAATCACTGGGGTTGCCGGGAAGAAAGTCCTCAACAGCAAGTCTCCTTTTTCCTGATCTTCATGAATCTCTACTATCCCGTCCACTAAGATGGGGATGTTGCCAAACGCTGTTGCGTCCGGAGCAAGATAGCGGGCTGCTTTCCACACATTGTTGGTGTCTTCTAAGAAGGTTAGCCAATACCGGTTCTTCTTCTCTTTCACTGCCGACCGGAAGTTCTGTAGCGCGATCTTTGTCTGGGCTTCGCAATCGGGTCGATGGATCCTGTTTCGGCGGGCATTGGTGGCTTGGTTTCGACTGGTTATGTATTCGTGCCTAAGTGTGGTCAACTCGTCGTCCCACCACGCCTTCATGTATCGTGACCACCGTGGGACTGGCGTGTGCCTATTCAAAGCCTGTTTCACTTGATGAATGATGGCTTCGGTTTCCCGTTCTAGTTCTGCGACTGAGGTAATCACTGGTGTGTGGTGCTGCCTTGTTGCGAACTCTCGCCGCACCGCATTCCAGTCGGTTTTTCGAAAGTTTTGCCTAGGTCGCGGTCTGTCGCGGATCCTTACGTTTACATCAAACGTGGTTCGAATGGCTCGGTGATCCGAACCGTGTTCCACCTCGTGGATGTCGCACTTGAGGACTGCGTCCTTCAATTCCTGGGAGATTAAAGCCAAGTCAATGGTGGTCTCGTGGCTACCGTGCTCGAATGTACTGGTTCCCCGTGGCAGGAGGCTGTCCAAACCCAACTCTGCCATCCATGTCAGGATCGGTGTTCCTTCGCCTTGTCGGGCCGTCGAGGCAACGGCATCTCCACCCCAGCTCTGATCGTGGCGGTTAAAGTCACCGCCCACAAAAAGATGAATCCGCTTCCTGGATCGTTGTTCGAAGTCCACCTTCGCTGATCGGATGAGGTTGAGACGATGTCGCAGTTCTGCCCGATTCTCTGCCCGAGATCTGGATCCGTCGGTAGTGCATGGCACGTAGACCGACACCACCATCAGCTCCACCGAGCCGAGCTTCACCACACCGGCCACAATATCTGAACACGGGACTTCGACTTGCCGAAACTGGCACCTCTTGTTGACATAGATCATCGAGCGGAAAGATCTGACTACTCGATCACTTTCCACCTGGGTGGGTCGCACTGCCTCCCACATCGTGTGTTCATACACGATCGCCTTGCCGTCAATATCGAAAATGCACGGCTCAGTGACCAGCATCAACGCCAGGTCTCTTGTCGTTTCGTCGTTCAGCAGACTCAGCTGCGCCACACTTCCTCGACCGAGATTCGCTTGCAATATGCCGGTGTGCTTAAGCATGTCGCTGCGTCGTCCTGCTCAGTCCTCTTTGCCGGTCCCCGC